ATTGAATAATTATTTCATTAATACTTACCATTAGATCACGTTAGAGTCCTATCTTACTTTATAAAAATAATTTTATTTATTAAAGGAAACACTATGTCACATTCACAACAATCAAATCAAAATCATATCTAACAATAGAGAAAATCAAATAAATCATGAAATGCTCATACTTTTATATCATGCTTCGCGAAGTCATTCCGACTTCTATCTCTGAGGGCAGATACAGATTTTCGACTACCCATGTGGAATGATTAGATAATACATATATAACAGTAATTTGTTCAAGAACATTTCTTGCTTGCTAAACCATGGTACAATCTATGACTATGGTTGTACCAACTACAGTGGTCCTAACAGATATTCTATAGTTACGACTATACTTAGCTAAAAATGACCCCTAACAGATATTCACGTCACCACTCTCGTCAGAAGGTACACCGTCATTTATATAGAGCAGTTTTCTCATGTCTTTTCAGACTAGATGAGGGATGAAGAAACAAAAATTTCTCAGAGATAAAAAGTCTAACGAGACACTTGATGCATTATGCATGTCAATACAGATACATATATTTTTCGGACCACTCAAGCTCATTCCCCTTCTCTTTCTTTTTTTTTTTTACTTTATATATATTTTTAAAAATTATCACCAAATTTATATTATTTAATTTACATGCAAATCATTAAGCGTCTATAAAATCACATAGCATACTTGAAATCAAGAACAAATCACTTTATTAGAACTACTAAACATGAAACATGTAACACACAAAACAAAAACTTCATAATTTTGATTTTCTAGAAATGCTCATTAAGATGTTTAAGGAAATACTAAATTTCTTACTGAAATCTTGAAGTTTTCCTACACTTTTCTTCTTCTTCTCCTCTCATTCTCTCTCTAAATCACTCTCTCTCTCTGTAAGCACTTCAAAGATGGAAGAATGAAATGGAAGTGATGAGGAAAATGGAAATAAAAGGGGTCCTTATTTATAGAAAATAAAAATCGTTAGATTTGCGCCAAGTGAAAAAATTCGATGAGGAGAGAAAAAATTGAGTGAAAGATGAGTGATTTGACGCGATGCGACGGTAGTGCAAAAAACGAAGGAAGAATTCCTTAACTGACAGCAGCTATCCAACCAAGGTGGTGATGGCACACCGCTCAAGGCGACGCACGACCTATCTTGCCATACGCAAGCCTATCTGCATAGGCCTTTTGCGCGAACAGCACGTGCACAGGGTGAACAATGCCTATCCCTATCTGTGCGCCATGTGACGTAGCACGGTGGAACCACCGTGCCGGAATTCTGAAATTTGCCGAATAGGCATCGGGTCTGATTTTTGAATTATTTGGGATATGTGTAGGTACCGTAAGCGCGTTTTAGTTTCTGAGAGAAAATTCAAGGAACCTAAAGACTCCCCGTAAGTGCAGTAAAAAAAATCAAGTTTTCGACTTCGAATCAGGTAAGGACTCCTCACCCTATTTCCTATCACGGGGTTAAAGTCTAATAAATGATAAAACTGTATTTGTATGAATTAAATAGATATACATAATTATTACGGTTGCTAATAGAGCCCGAACCGGACATATTTCTCTGTCAGTTCCTGTTTAATTTATTTTACAGTCTAAATGCAGTATAGTATGTGATTTATTTATTCTATGATTTGAATGCATGAATCACTGTTTACTTCATTATGGCTTGATTTTGTGAATCCGATGATATACTTGCCTTGTTGGATGCTCGTTACTTGTTTAAGTATTCATGTTTATGTGAGAAATGGAAAACTAAGAAAAAAAATAGAAAATGTATGTGAATTGATAAATGGATAAGTTGACAGCCTTACTAGATATCCTAGGAGATGGTGGATGGACTGGATCTATAGGAAACCCTACCAGAAACGTTGTCTCATACCAAACGGGGTTTGGAGACTTTAAATATTTTGGCGCTCATATCGGACGGGGTATAGGGACAGCCCACTTCACCCTCATATCGGACGGGGTATTGAAGTTTATAGTTTGGCACCCATACCGAACGGGGTATGGGGACGGCCCTAGAAATTAAATTTTTCAATGAATGGTTCACGGGTAGCGGGGACCCTTATGGATCCCCACGAATACTAGTAGGCTGATAAAAAAGGGGTAACTGTTATTTGATGATTGAAATATAAAAGTATGACATGTACTATGATACAGATTATGTATGAATTCATGATATTTATGATGTTACTATTTTTATGAGTCATTTTTATAAATCCTACTGAGGTAAGTGGACAGTAAATTGTTTGATTATTGATAAATAAATTTTTTTGAAACTTGTGCTCTATTGGTTGTCTTTGGTTTTCTACCAACCTTTACTTCTGTGACAGTGATATAGTGTGATGTCTTTACTGGACTAGTGTAGCTCATTCTTTACTTAACTATTTCGTATCAGGAGGACTTGGTTACCGAGCCCGATCTACAAGAAGACAGCGAGTAGATACCTAGATGTTTATTAGTTTCTTTTATCCTCTTTCATTTCCAGTATTTTTCTTTAGATGACTTATTTTCGGTATTGTTAGTACGTTTAAGTTATTGTGTAAGGGATATTAATCAGAACCTTTTATTTCGTTTCCACACTTATATTCTTTATGTACATTTTCTTTTTAAATTTCCATGGCCGTTACATAGTATCTACTAACTTCTAACTAGAGGCCATAGTTTAGACCAACATCGCGGACTCCATTCAGCTCAGTGCATCAATGACTACATTTCCTTTACGAGATGGTAGATAATCTTGCAGTCGTAGTCCATCATGAGGTTCATCCAACGTCTTTGTCTTATGTTCAACTCCCTTTAAGAGAAAATGTACTTTAAACTTTTGTGGTCAGTGTAAATTTAAAAGATCTGACCAAATAGGTAATGACGTCATATTTTTAAGGTAAAGATAAAGGCCGCCAACTCCAGATCATGAGTGCGGTAGTTTCACTCATAGAGTTTCAACTGTCTAGATTCATAAGCGACCACTCTACAATGTTGCGTCAAAACACATCTCTAACCAATATGTGATGCATCGCTGTAAACCTGAAATCTTCCAATATTGTCAGGGAAGATCAACACCGGAGCAAAGGTAAGACGATATTTTAATTTAATAAAACTTTAACCACATTCGTAATCCCAGATAAAAAGTACACCCTCTCAAGTGATCGAGTCAACAAAACAGCAATCTTAGAAAATTCATCGATAAATCATTTATAGTAACCTGTCAAGCCAAGGAAACTATGTACCCAGCTACATTGGTAAGCGGGTTCCAATTAATCATTGTTTCAACCTTGGTCGGTTCGACGGAAACTCTTTCACTTGAAATCAAATGACTAAGAAAGGAAACTCGATCCAATTAGAATGAGCATTTGCTAAGTTTAGCAAACAGCTGGTTCTAATGAAGTGTCTCCAGCACTTCAGACATGTGGACTGCATGTTCCTCCGGACTCTTGGAGTACACTAGAATATTATCAATAAATATAATGATGTACTGATCTAGTGCATACTAGAAAACCCTGTTCATGAGATCTATAAAGGTAGCAGTTGCATTAGTTAACCCAAACAGCATTATCTTGAACTCGTACAGGTCGTATCTACACTAAAAAATAGTCTTCAGAATATCTTCTTTTTTTACTCTCAGCTGGTAGTATCTCGATCTAAGATCTATCTTGGAAAAAATTGTGGGTCATTGCAATTGGTCGAAAAGATCGTCAATTCGAGGTAGATATTACTCGCTCTTTATTGTTACTCAGTTGAGTTCTCAGTAGTCTGTGCATAGTCTGAGAGAGTCATCTTTTTAAAAAAAAATAACACTAGAGCGGTCGAATGAGTGATTAAGACAAATAAACTTCTGGCCAAGAAGCACAGAAAGCTGATCTTCCAGTTCTACGAGCTCAACATGACTAATGCAATAGGCAGGTTTCAAAATTAGTTGGGTTCCAAGAAGTAGTTCGATAAAAAACTCTATCTCTCACGGGAGAGGTAGAATAGGTAATTCGATTGGAAAAACTTTCAGAAAGTTATAAACAATGGAAATGGAATACACAGCAAGATCAGTATCCATATTCATGTTTATTCAATTGCTAAGGAGAAACATAGATTTTATTACTTTTTCAAAGTTTGCAAGGTTATAACTTTACTTTCACAATCAATAATTACTTTATATTTTTTTAACCAATCTATTCCTAAAATAATGTTAAGCCTTGAGATATCTAAAAGTATTAAGTTTATAAATATTTCTATTTTTGAAACTTTTATCTTACAATTTTTATACATGCAATGGGCTTCTAATAATCCCCTAAAATGAGTTTTTACAGCTAATATTCTTTTAAGAGTTCAAGTCTAATATATAATTTACAAGTAAATGCAAAAGAGATAAAAGAGTGGGTAACACCTATATCAATCAAAACCCTGGCAAAAGTGCCATGAATAGAAAGCATACCTTGAATAAGGACAGAAGTGGGGAGGGCACCAGTT